CCCCCCGGCCGCAGGCCTCTACCTCCCGGCCAGGCCGCTCGCTGCGCCGTCGCCTGGCAACCGCGGCTTCCCCGCCCTCCCCGGGAGGAGGGGGTCACGTGGGACTTCGCCGCCAATCCCGATGAAAGGGGAGGGACCACGCAACCCACGTCCCTGGAAGCGAGCCCAGCTGAGGCGGAGGGTAACGTGGCGCCGCGCCGCTGATCCGGTGGGATTGCGCGCGGCCGCCCTGGTCGCCCGCGGACCCCCAGCGAGTCGGGCCGTGGCCCGTGTAGCCGCCTCGAAGCGCTTCCTTCCCGGTCCTGCGGGGGGCGAGCGCGGCCGGAGCCCGAGAGGCGCGGGGGAAGGATGCCAGGGAGGGCGGCACAAAAAAAACTCTGCGTAACTGCAGAACCAAAGAAGTGCACGACAAAGTGCATCACAAAGTGTGCGCCACAAAAAAGTGCACCGCAAACAGGGCATCACAATAAACCGCACCACTGGCCGTGCCAGGGAGCGGGGTGCAGCCCAACTCCAGCAGCAGGCGGGCGCCAGGCTCTCCCTGCGTTGGCAAAACGGGCAGTGGCCAGGGCGGCGGTCCAGCACCCGTGGCACCAGCCCCACCGGCTGCGGCCCTTGCTCTCGCGGGCCCGGGATGGAGGCCAAGGGGGTCCCTCCCCTTGTCAGGGTGGGACGCAGGGAGTGGATGGTGTCGCGCGCGGAGCACAAGTGCGGCGAGCTGGCGGCCACGGGCTGTTCGGAGGCAGACCCAGGGCCAGAGGGCTGGGGGATACCAGCAGGTGGGGGCTGCCCCCGCACAGGACCGGTCCTTGTGATGGGCAGGGAGCAAACAGCATGAGCAGCCCCGACTCTCCCAACTCCCGAAACAGGCGCTCTCCTCCCGCCTGAGTCACGGCCTGAGATCTCGCAGCGGCCAGAGGAAATGCTACCGCGAAAGCAGACTTCAAGAAAACAGATGCCAAAAATCAAAAGCTGGGAGGAGCTGGCTGCCGACCAACTCCAATGGCCTGCAAACGCAACCGAGTGGCAGCCTGTTTGGTGGGAAAGCGTCTCACCCTCGGAGCAGGGACAAGAGCGCAGAGGAAGGAAGAGGAGAGGGATCCCAGCCTACAGCCTGCTCCCTCCTGCGGCAAGACCTGCACCTTCCGCGCATGCACCTGCAGCAAAAGGGCTGGGTGCGAGTCACCTCGAGACCCAAATCAAGGGATTGCTGCTGCCACCAATACTGCGGCGCGCTTTTTTTCCCAGATAGACACAGGGGGCATACGTCATTCCCTGGTCTGCATGCTGCATCTGACCCAGCACAGCCAGGGCTGCACCCCATCTAGCTGGGGCCCAGCACCCCGTCCAACCCGTGTTTGACAGCGTCCCACGTGCACCACATCACGTCCTTTGGGAACCACTGCTGTATGCACCTGCCTCAAATAGCGCAGAGGTGGCAAACTCGCCTGTGGCCCAGGCTGGATTCAGATAGCAGGGCTCCTCCTGGGTCAAATCCATGGGGTAGGCAGCAGTGGCCAGGAGCCAAGTGGGCCAGATGGAGCTACTCCACGTGCAGGATCCTGCCCGCAGGCCATACGTTGGACACCCCTGAAATCGCATGTAGTCTGAAGAGATAATGCAGTGATTCTCAGCCGGGAGACATGGCAAGCTGGGGTGCCTCGATACCCTCCCAAAGGTGCCATGCATTGTTAGTGCCATTAAGTGTGCCAATATGATTCACAGGATACAAACAGGAATCAGCCGTGTTAAAAACAGCCTACCTTGCTGCAGTTTTTCTGAGCTCTTTGCCGCAGAATTTGGTCTCTCAATTGCTGTGGTCAAAAAACAAGTGCAAAGTAAAAGCTGGCATTGCCTTGAGTCTGTTTGGGGTGCCTCGAGTCTAAAAAGGTTGAGACCTGCTGATGTAATGCAGTGGATAGGACAAGAAAAAACAAGCAAAGGCAATAAAAGGAGAAAGCAGCTTAAATAAAAGGGGTAGGCACAGAGCTGGGACAAGAATCCACGTCTCTCTGTCCAGTGCCCGATCGACTGGAGCATGGTGCTGGGTGCCAAGCTCTAGAAAATTGAGCTGCTTGAAGGAGATTAAATAGGAGTTGACTCTGGTCTGAAAATCTGGCTATTAGGAAACTGCCCTGTGTGGTGAATAAATATCACCCTATTTTACAGAGGGGGAGACTGAGGCAGAAAGAGATGGTGAAGAGTGAAACTGAGACAGCCTAACTGAAAGTTCCTTCTCCCTCGATCACACTCTATGGGGAATTACCAAGAATAGTCATATTGTTAGTTATTTTATTCATCTAAACTTTAAACCTGTAAGGTTACACAAATATACACAGTGCAGAAAACCAGCCCTCTCATGGCTGCAGAGTGAATTTACACTTGCTGCTCCATAACATCTGAAGTCAGGAGAGCATCTGGACTGAATGATGTCTTTGTGCTTGCTCCAGAACTCTAATATACTGCTCTCATATACAGCACTGCTTCATGTGGGATTGATACTCGGCATTTATTAGGAAGGCTCTATGTTTCTGCAGTCAAAGGGTTTCTCTGTCATGTACATAGTTCCTTTTTTAATAAAAGTTATTCCTCCATATTGAGGTCTTCACCTACCACAAAAATTAATGTTGCTTCTACCATTTCTCTGATGAGTGACTTCCTTCAGCTCAGTCTTTTTAACACAACTTGAAAGTGAATTTGGGGTTGAAATTAGTGTTTAGAAACTATATTTCTGTAGCCCCTTTCATCCAAAAAGTTCCAAAGCAAGCTACAATTTTCTGTGTATCCTTACACGTGTGTGCACGTGTGTGTGTTTATATATATCTAAATGTGTGTGCGTATGTGTATACACACACACACACACACACATATATAGACAGACAGACACTTCCCCCAGTAGAACTTCTAATTACATGGATCATACACAGTTTCATATATATATCTATATATATCATAATATCAAAATGTCAACCTCGTTATTTGATTTTTGACTGAATGACTACAAGGTTCATCTTTTCTTAGCATAACTTGCTGATGTCATTTCCTAGGACTTTGGGGAGGAAAAGACATTCTATGGTTCTGAACTCATGAGCTATAGACCATTGCTGTCCTACTCAAGAAGGCCTGACTTTGGCACAGCCCCTACCTCACTGAATATGCATATAAAGCCATGCATGCATTCCCTCGCCCCCGGCATCATCACGCACCAGTGCACAATGCAGTCTTTCTTCCTTTACAGTGCCATTGCCACGGGCTACCACAGTTGAACCCAATATTTAATACATGCTCAAAGTGCATGTTTCAAACATTAATAACCATTCCAAAGCAAAAGCCAAGTTCACCCAAAAGCTTAAAAAGATATTTTTCTTCAGTAAAGTCTATTTCCTTGCCAAGCTTCAGCTTTCTAACCCCCAGTCATTTTAGGACAAAGGCTATTCAAACCAGTAACATTTAATGAGCACTCATTCCTGCCCAGAGCAGGGGGTCGGACTTGATGATCTGTTCAGGTCCCTTCCGACTGTAGAAACTATGGAACTATCTAAAGGCATGCCTTTCTTTCTCCTCATTTTGGATTAAAATGTCCATGCAAGAAAAAAGACCCCCCCCCCAAAAAAAAAAAAAAAAAAAAAAAAAAAAAA